ACTTGTAAACTATTTTTTTATATTTAAGGTTGATAAGGTACACTCTCTCGCTCCACACCACAGTAAAGTGTTTGACACAATGTTAAACATGCGTGCCAATCTGTAGTTGTTGGGGGTTTCCCTTACTCAGTTTATGCATAAAATTCCCTAAATACTGGAAATACAAAACAACAACAACAACCGAAAGGGAACACGTTCATAGTAAAAAAACACTTAAATATGTTTCCAATATGTTGGCCATTTTTTGTCTTTAGGTGGGGGTTTTCTTAATTTATTTATTTTGTTTTGTTTGTTTCTCGAATATTCGTCGAATGCAATTTTACATATGTATACATAGTGTTTTTGTTATAATATAAAGAAGCTCATGGTGACGAAAATAATGAACTACAAACACTCACACATTGATAACAATTTTCTGTAGATGAATAAATTTTATGTTTGTATGTGTGTATCAACTTGTTAGTTCAAGGATGCGGAAACCACCTCAATTGGTAGTATAACTAGAAAATGTAATAGTTTATGTCAAAAATAAAAGGAAGATGGATGTATAAGGAGAATAGAATCCGAAGAGGTCTAACAAGGAATGAATAACTAAATCTCAATAAAAATTAATGCAATTGACTGAACAAAAGGGAAATCATTTGAAAATGAAAGGAGAGGAGGAGGATCGAAATTCTAATAAGGGTTTTCTGTCTAAAGGATACCTTTGTAAATCGTTCTTTTCATAGAAGATCGGTGTAATATCCTCTTTCCACAAAATGGGAGTCTTGAAGCTTTCAGTCCATAGAAGACCTAATATACGTCTTATAGAAAAGTTCTCGGAATTTCTTTTGGTTTCAAGGTTTTAACCGAATTTTCTCATCTAATTAAGAACTAGAAACTTATTTTCATGTCCATGATTTGACGTAGCTCTTTTATAAAGACCATGCTGTTTTTTTCATATTTAGAAGTACATTCTCCCATCGAAGTGGCTGTAATTTTCATTCTGGGGCTTTGGAAGGTTAAAAAAAATTCTTTAAAATATCTACGCCTTAAAAGGCCTTTAAAAAATACTCTTTTAAAATCTACGCCTTAAAAGGCCCTTTAAAAATACTACGCCTTAAAAGGCCCTTTAAAAATATTACGCCTTAAAAGGCCCTTTAAAAATACTACGCCTTAAAAGGCCTTTAAAAAATACTCTTTAAAAAAGCTACGCCTTAAAAGGCCCTTTAAAAATACTACGCCTTAAAAGGCCTTTAAAAAATACTCTTTTAAAATCTACGCCTTAAAAGGCCTTTAAAAAAATACTCCTTAAAAAATCTACGCCTTAAAAGGCCCTTTAAAAAATCTACGCCTTAAAATGCCCTTTAAAAATACTACGCCTTAAAAAGCCCTTTAAAAAAAATATTCTTTAAAAAATCTACGCCTTAAAGGCCTTTAAAAAATACTCTTTTAAAATCTACGCCTTAAAAGGCCCTTTAAAAATACTACGCCTTAAAAGGCCCTTTAAAAAATCTACGCCTTAAAATGCCCTTTAAAAATACTACGCCTTAAAAAGCCCTTTAAAAAATATTCTTTAAAAAATCTACGCCTTAAAAGGCCTTTAAAAAATATTCTTTAAAAAATCTACGCCCTTAAAGGCCCTTTAAAAATATTCTTTAAAAAATTCACGCCTTAATAGACCCTTTAAGAAAATAATCTTTAAAAAATCGAAGCCTTAATAGACCTTTTAAGAAAATGATCTTTAAAAAATCCACGCCTTAATAGACCTTTAAGAAAATAATTTTTAAAAAATCCACGCCTTAATAGACCTTTAAAAAATATTCATAAAAAAATTACTCCTTAATAAACCCTTTAAAAATATTCTTAAAAAAATCCACGCCTTAATATACGTCTTAAAACATCCTTTAAAAATATTCTGTAAAAAATCCAATCCTTAATAGAACCTTTGAAAAATATCCTCGCCCTAATAGACCTCTTAAGATACTGTTCTTTAAAAAATATTCCTTAAAAAATTCCCGGTTTAAAAAAAATATTTTTTTTAAAGAACGTCTTAGTAGACCATTAAAAAATCCACGCCGTAATGGGCTCTTTAAAAAATCTTTTAAAAAAATCTATGCCCTTTGAAAAAATATGTTCTTTAAAAAATACATATTTCATAGTCATAGAAAACATGTAGAAGCTTATATAGATAAATGCTCTTCTCTGCAAACTTGTGATAGAATTTGCATCGGCAAAGACATGTAAATATTTTTTTCCAATTCACCTTACTAATTTCACACTACTTAAATCCATTTAAACTTCCAAACATTAAAATCTCAAATATCCCAAAGCACTCGTCGACGAAAGCGTAACGAGACGAATTCAAACAATTCACTTTATGATTATGGAATGTTAGGAGGATTTTTGCGATGCTTTTCGAAAAGAACAATTTTCCAAGAATTTAAAATATGTTTAAATTTGACTGTGTGTGTGTGCATATGCACACATATGTGCATTATGTTATTGTGTATCAATTGCAAGAGGTTTAATTAGTTTTGCGGTTTCTAGTTTGGTTCTAGCGGTGCCAAATCGGCAGCATCAGCATCGTCGTCGTCGTCGTCTTCGTCATCATCTTAAATAATTTATTCTAAGAATTACTTTTACCCAGAAAGGCCATTGGGAAACGTGGTGGAAATTTGAAAAACCACAAAACACAAGTACTGGACAATTTTCAATTTAATAACAAACATGCAAACGCACACACACACATAGACACGGACATCTTGACCTAATCAACTTTAGTGGATTAAAAGATGTTGGCGGTAGGGAAATCTCACAGTCTTGTTAAAAATTATTATTGAAAAATCCAATTAGTTAAATTATGACAATCAGATGTGTGTGTGTGTGGAATTAAATATACGAAAGAAGAATTTTTGCAATAATTTTGTATAAAATGCCATAACGTGTTTTCAAGGACACTTAATGTGGCTTATAGTTTGGGTGTTTAATTTCATGCCATGTTTGAATAACAAAGCGTAACAAATTTGTAGCAAAACTGGCTAATGCGTGTCCGAAAAAATATACACCAACAATAATAGAGTTATTAATAATAATAAAAATAAATGTTAATAATTCTGTTTTATGCGGAAAACAGCAATATAAACAACATCATTAAATAAAATAATAAACAATAAATACTCTAAAAAATATTCTTAAAAAAATACGCCTTAATAGACCCTTTGAAAAGTATTCTTTAAAAAATCCAATACAAAAATATTCTTATAAATATCCAAGCCTTTAAAAATATATTTTTTAAAAAATCCAAGCCTTTAAAAAATATTCTTGAAAAAAATACGCCTCAAAAGACTCTTTAAAAATACACGCCTTAAAAAAGTATTCTTTAAAAAATCCACGCCTTAATAGGCCCTTAAAAAAGTATTCTTTAAAAAACTACGTCTTAAAAGGCTCTTTATAAAATCTACGCCTTGATAGGCCCTTAGAAAACTATTATTTAAAAAATCAACGCCTTAATAGGCTTTTAAAGAGTATTCTTTTAAAAACCCAAGGCTTTAAAAAATTATTATTTAAAAAATCCAAGCCTATAAAAACATATTCTTTAAAAAATCCACTCATTAATAGGCCCTTAAAAATATTTTTTAAAAAATCCACTCCTTAATAGGCCCTTAAAAATATTTTTTAAAAAATCCAAGGCCCTTAAAAATATATATATTTTTTTTTTTAAAAGGCTTTTAAAAATTATTCTTTATATAAAATCCAAGGCTTTTAAAAATTATATATAAATATAAAATTATATAAATATTCTTCAAAAAATTCACGTCTTAAAAGACCCTTTAAAAAATATTCTTAAAAAAATCTACGCCTTAATAACTCCTTTAAAAAATATTCTATAAAAAATCCACGAATATAATAATATTATATAAATATACAATGAAATAAAAAACAATAAAAAATTGTGTGTTAAACTTTATTTTATATGAATGTATAATAGACCCCATAGCACTCGCCCTATAATTGTGGCATAGGCCCGGTCGGAGGTGGTGATGGTCGGTCGGTGGTAACGTCGATTCCCAGGGACCAAATGCCTCCTGGGCAACTGGTGTACATTTTTATTTTTTCATTCCTTTAAAAATATATACCTATGTAATATTCTCTTCCTACCCCCCATCTTAATAGACCTATAAATTAAGAAAAAAAATATATCCAAAACTAAAGAAAATCCAAACCAAATAAAACAAAAAAATATAATTCACAAACCAAAGAACATTTAAGAAAAATTAAATTAAAAATAATTTAAACAAAAGCAAAAACAAAAATCACAAACAACAACAAACATTAAAAATAAAAATCAACATCAACAAAGACAACAACAACCACTACTGCAAATCATGAAAGACTTCAAAACCCAACAAAGAATGTGCAGAAATCAAAAAGTTTTAAAAACTCAGCTGCGAAGACATCTGCGAAAATTATAAAACGCAAAATAAATAACAAAAACAAAATCCGCAATTGATCCGTATATGTTTCACCTCGCTCACGCTCACCCATTATAAGATAAATTACCACAACAACAACAAAAACGGAAAAACAAAAACCACACAACAACAAAGAAATTAAATCAAAGTGCCAAGCTTGCACACAGTTCCAGAATAACGAAGGCGTGATACTTAAACTGAAAGCAGACAACAACAAAACAAAACAAAAAACCTCAGCTCTGATCATCCTCGATAATCGCATGCCGTTCATTAACTAGGCTATAAATATCGATCATCATAAATCTTTAAAAACGGCTAACTGACTCTCTCGCAACGTAAAACTCCTCTCTCCATATACATCTCTCTTAGTGAATCTCTTAAGCTGCTAAAACAATTTTAATGAATATTTGGGTAAATTGGTTTCTCAATTTTTTAAATATGTATTTCTATATAAATGATTTCAATAATTTATTTATTTAATTTTAATTTATTTTCAATATCGAAGCCTTAATAACCCCTTTCCCTCTGCCCTCTTTCTCTTTGCAGCAACAAAAGTTCTTAAAACGACCCGCTGACGATGCCGACAATGGTGCCGAAAATTTCGAACCGCCTCACAAATTGCCCAACAACAATAACAACAATTCCAATAATAGCAATAACAACAACAACAATGGCTCAGAGAATCTAAAATTCTCTGTGGAAATTGTCCAGCAATTGGAGTTCACCACCTCGGCGGCCAATTCTCAACCCCAACAGATTAGCACCAATGTCACAGTGAAGGCCCTGACCAATACCTCCGTTAAAAGTGAACCGGGTGTAAGTGCCAGTGGTGGTCCGGGTGGTCCAGGCACTGGTGGTGGAGTCGGAGGCGGTGGCGGCGGCGTTGGTCCCCAGGGTGATCCACAACATAATGGTAACAACAGCAACAATCACGGCGGCATGCATATGGGCAGTGGTGGCGGCAATGCTACAAATCTAATGGGTGGCCATAACATGAATGCAGCTCAGCAGCAACAACAGAAATCCAACAATATGGGTGGCTTAGGCAATTTGGTGGAGTGTAAACGTGAGCCTGATCATGATTTCCCCGATTTGGCCGGTTTGGAGAAGGATGGCGGTCCGAATAGTAACTTTCCCGCCTTTCCCGAATTCATGGGAGACGACGGCGCCGTCGGCAACGAGACCTTCAAGGAACTCATCAATGACTTGCAAGATTTCAATCCTGGCTTTTTGGATGCCCTTGACGAGAAACCCTTGATGGACATTAAAACCGAGGATGGCATCAAGGTGGAACCGCCCAATGTCCAGGCCTTGATTGACAGTTTGAATGTTAAATCGGAAAATGCCATGGCCCAGTTCAATGCAGCATTTGGCGGTGGTGGTGGTCCAAATTCCGGTGGTCCCAATGTCGGCCCGGGAATGGGTGGTCCCATGGGTGGTGGACCTGGTGGTGGTGGTCCCAACAACGATCCTCAAGGCATGAATAAAATGCGTTCCCAGTTCCAAAATGGTCCCAACTCGGGACCCATGTCCGAATTATCGCTTGCCGCCCAAACGCTGAAACAAATGGCCGAACAGCATCAACACAAGAATGCCATGGGTGGCATGAATTTCCCACGACCTCCCATGCATCAGGGGCAACAGAATCAAATGATGGGTGGCGGCGGTGGTGGTGGACCCAATGGCCGCTACAATGATTATGTGGGTGGTTTTGGGGGACCCAATGATTTTATGCAGGGTCCTAATGGTCCGCAGCAACATCCGCAACATCAAAATATACCACCACAATTCCAGCAGAAGGGTCAAGCGGGTGCTGGTGGTCCCATGGGTGGCAATAATGTACAGCAACAGTCCTTCTTGGATATCAAACAGGAGCTCTACTATTCCTCACAACAGAATGATTTCGATCTCAAACGTCTTCAACATCAACAGCAAATGCAGCAGCAGCAACAACAACAGCAGCACATGTCGCAAGCCAAAATGGGTGCAATGGGTCCCAACGGACCCATGGGTGGAGGGGGTGGTGGCGTCGGTGTGGGTAATTTCCCCAAACCAAATGGTCCTGGTCAGCAGCAATCTCAAACACAAAATCCCACACAACAACCACAATACTCGCCCTACAATTCTGGCATGGGTCCGGCCGGAGGTGGTCCTGGTGGACCGGTCGGTGGTGGCGTCGGTTCCCAGGGACCAAATGCGGGACAAAACTTTATGCAAGGCCCCGGACCACGTGGTGGCCCGGGTGTTGGCGGCGGTTTGGGACCAAATCAAGGTGGCCCATCAAATGGTCCACCCAACATGTCACCAGTCCAACAGTCGCAACAGCAACAACAGCCACAAAATGCCAATGCCCGTGGGCCACAACAGAATGCACCGAATATGGCGGGACCAAATGCCAATAATCAAAATGGTCCAAATTCGGGTCCCAATCTAAATGGTCCGGGCAATGGACCCGCTGGTCAGCAGGGTAATCCAAATATGGCACAACAACAGGCACAGCAGCAGCAACAACAACAGCAGCAGACGACAACAACAACGTTGCAAATGAAACAGACACAGCAGTTGCATATTTCACAGCAGGGTGGCGCTCACGGTATTCAGGTGAGTTGATGATACATTTTGCATTTTGTTATTTATTTATCAAAAAAGTGTGTTATATAAATTTATATTCTCTATTCCTGAAGAAAAAAGGAAAGAAAAAATTGAAAAATAAAGGACAGGAAAAAATAAATTAAAAAGGCACCTAAAAGTATGCATTAGTAAATAGTGCTACATGGAAAATTATGATCACTTTCAGGATAATGGTTCGGAACATTGTCCATATCGGTTCACGATGTACAAGGTTTCGCTTTTACGTAACTAAGTTTACCATGATTTAGCGATATTGAGTTTGTGGCGCCTAAATGTATGCATTAGTATTTCTCAGTGGATGCATTCTCCCACCAAGTTTGCATTCTGGATTTTTTTTGAAGGAGAGAAACGGTATTTCGATTTGAAAAGCCCATCCTATACCCTTCAAAAAATGGTCTCAAACAAAATCCACTACGTAGACTCTTTAAAAATATTCATTAAAAATCTACGCCTTCAAAGACCCTGTTAAAAAAATATTCTTTAAAAAACCCACGCCTTGATAGACCCTGTTAAAAAAATATTCTTTAAAAAACCCACGCCTTGATAGACCCTCTAAAAACTATTCTTTAAAACATCTACGCCTTAAAAGATCCTTTAAAAAAAGATTCTATAAAAAATCCACGTCTCAATAGGCTTTTTAAAAATTATTCTTTAAAAATCCACGCCTCAATAGACTCTTTAAAAATATTCTTTAAAAAATCAACGCTTTAATAGACTCTTATTTCTTTAAAAAAAACCGCCTTAAAGGACGCTGTTAAAAATTTTATTTAAAAAATGTACGCCTTAGTAGACCCTTTACAAAAAAATACCTTTCATGATAATGGAAAAGATGTACAACGATGATGTGCCTAAAAGTATGAAATAACCTTAGTATTTTGGAAAACATATTTGATACAAATTTTACAAATGATATCCTTATGGGTCCACCATGTACGAGGTATCGATATTTCTTAACTAAATTTACTTTTATTTAGCGCCATTCAAAACACCTGTTAATGGCGCCCAATAGTATGTATAAGTATTTAACGTTTTTAAAGCTTTTCGAAGTCGGTCCTAAAAAGAGGAACACAATTTGGCGAACTGTTCCAACATTTCCTTATAAAAGCTGTGTATTTCGGTCATTTTTTTTTCTTAAATTAGTTTTGGAAAACCATGTCCTGCATAAATTTCCAAACCGCAATCCAGACCGCAAGTAATTCTTAATCGAAATACTTTCTGCAGCATACCTTCGCAAAAATAATCCCATTGTAACCCCTTCATTGCCGACGTTTGTTTGTCACTTTGGACATGGCATCGATCTCTTTAATATTCCAACGGCACGTTTTAATATTTCCTTAATTTTCTTCTACTATTTTTGTTTTTTTTTCTTGCCACACATTAAAAAACTCAACAAACTTATCAATGAAAAAAATCCGAAGAAAAAAACTTTTATTGCTCTAAAGTTATGGTAGGAAAATAAAGTCAAGACAAAGTAGATGGAAATTCAGGAAGTGAAGGAAAAGTTTTTATTTTTCAACAATGAATTGTCGCATATTGCTCAAAAAACACAGACGAAGAGGTATTAAAGTCAATGGTGTTAATATCAATCTGAACACCACCATGAACTACATACCGAACGTACGTACCTACGCACTATCAGAAAAGGCAAGTCGGAAAACATTAACCATTCATCTCCACCCTCCGAAATGACATTTTTTTGCTTCATACAAAATAAACCACCCCCATTACACCCACCCAGCAATCACACAACCCGATTGTCTTTTGCAAATGGAGAAAAAAGTGCAACCCTATAACACAAAATCTCGTTAAAAGTATCGCTCAATAATTCTCCCAGTCAGCCAGCCAGCTCGCTCGTGCCTCAGTTACATCGTACAATGAATTTAAATTACATTTCACAGATTCATTATTATTGCGGAGCGTAACACCGTGCAAAACAACAACGAAAAAACGAAAACGTCGTAATTCCGGTGAAAATAAATCCAAAACGACGTAACTCTGGAACCCAAATGTGGTTTATGCGAGTTATCGCCACGTTATGTCGTACATCAAGCGAACGAACGAACGATATATTGTGGGTGAACGCGGCGAAGATGCAATGCTGACGCCACGACGTTGGGTTGTGTTGCTGCTGCTTGGCTATTGTCGACGACTGTCCGGACATTCGAACTTTGTATGAACGACGGCGGTCGTCGACGACGAGCAACAACTTTGTGTTTTGATTGTTATGGAATTTCGTTTTACTATTTAAGAGATTTTGAAAAAAACTCACAAACAAATTAAGAATATAGGGTGGAATGAAAATTATTCAATATATTTTTTTTAAGAAAACACTTAAAATATGCAAAAAAAAATATTCAAAATGCAAATTAAATTATTCGAAATTTTTGTTTATGGTCTGTACTCAATAATTGATTGATTTTTCATGAAACTATTTATTTAATTCAGTAGTATTGGCGTGGTTTTTCGGATACCAATTGTATTTTATTTATTTATTGCAAATTAGTTGTTGTTTATTTAATTTATAATTTTTTTATTTATTTAATTAATTGTACCAAACAAATCACATCATGTGAACAACCTTAATAGCATTCCAACAAATCTTAACACCATTTACCATAGCCATGCTAATGTCACTTATTGCTACTAAACATTATTTGTCTCTACTTTACTACCTCTCGCTCTGTCTTTGTCTCCCTCCCCATTTCACCCTCGATGTTTTTTGTATTTAAAAAATGTTAAAAAATATAATTGAAGCTCTCCTTTTAACATTCTCAATTACATTAAATGACATTTTCATAAGCTTTTGTTGTTGTGTTTTATTTGTTTGTAAACCTTTAATGGAATCTCATTGTTTGTTTTTTTTCTGAATGGTCTCTTCTCGTTTTTTTGCTTTGTTTCTCTCGTGTTGTTTACTGACTCTCACAATGTTCTCAGGGTGCATTGCTTTGCAATACATTGTTGTTGGCAATTGGGTATATTTTTTGGGGAGGAAGTAGTGTGTGCAATGGTGTAATATGAGAGAATTGTGCAGTGATGCCAACACTTTATTAAGTAAAACGCCGTAGAAAGGGTTATAGAAAATAAATAAATATTCCTTAAAAAATGGGTAGCAAAAATAGTAGAAGTTCTTTAAAACGTGTTTGCGATTTTAGAGGAATATTTGACGATAAAAATGTTAACTGTACAAATTCTTGTGTAAAATATTAAAATAACTTCGTAATCTGATTTTGTGAACTTTACGTGGGCATGATGTTCTTTTATTTCCCCTAAAGAATCATTTAGCTGAAATTTCGATTTGGGTTGCCTGATATTGGACTAATTAAGCACATTTGCTGCAAGACCGGCATACATTAAAAAAGGATTTAGCAGAAAATTAATTTTAAATTTTTCAATTGAATACCACCGTACAGAGAACAGGGGATTTTTTACAAGTTCTCAGAGTGTTTTGTGGACAACATGAAGTCTGATATATCGATAGTACGTCTGTAACTCTAAAATCACGAATTTGATTTATGCCGGTCTTGCAGGAAATGAGTCTATATCCAACCATTGAACCTTTCTTACACCTTCAAAATGCCAAAAATGGCTCGTTAACTTTGCTTGGTTTTGTTTCTTGATACCAAAACGTAGACCGATATATCCATTTTCAGTACTAGGCATCATAGCAAGTAGCTGAAATGGAAATGGAAACATTTTAAGATCTATCTTAATTATTTCAAATTCGGTCATGATTTCAACAGTTAGGCAGAGAGACCGCCATACTGAAATGGGCAAATCGACACAGAATTTAAATGGGATAAATTTTTGGAGGTGTAGCAAACGAATAAATAAATTTATGGTATAGATTATAAAACGCCCATGCAATTTTTATCCCCTCAATAATAGCGTTGCGTCGTCGTACTTCCATGGGCCTCTTCACTTTTGGGCAATAACAAATTCGCAGGATTTTACGCTATGTGAATATAGATTCTGCTATATAAATTATATCGAACGTGGTGGAAAAATTCAATAGATAGAATTATTTCGCTAAATAAATTAGTGAGATATTTAGTTAGTGACGACTAAAAGTTTCGACAAAAATGTTCTGTTATAGCCTACTGCCACAAATTTCACCGGCCCGAGTCATTTTTAATAAAAAAGATATATTGACATAACTCAGGATAATTGTGTGGTTATAACCATGATGCAATAATAAGATGATGTATCACAATCATCTGTCAAAATTTTCCTTATAATATTTCACATGGTTGACAACGTTGCACATCGAATTCAAGTAGAAATTACGCACTTTGACGGTTAATGTGTAATTTTTTAATTATTTCGCAAAAGAAAAACCGCCAAGTTGACACTATTTATATTAAGTGTGTGGGGCTTATTTACAAATGAGTGCAAACTTTCTCGAGTGAAAATCTAAAACTTGCACAGAGAGTTTTATTCTTTAAAATTTTTATAGATTTTTCCTATCGACAATATTTGAGTGCAAATTGTTTTAGACGATTATTGGGGTTAAATGTGTTGTTGTTGTTAACAGAGTTATTGCATTACTAACATAAAAGTCATACACATATTATGTTAAGACAGCAATGCTTTGTGGAGAATCAATAATGTTAAAATATTTTAAGAATGCACGGAATTTAAACTTATATAAATTCAATGTTTAATTAACATATTAAACAGCAACAAATTAAATATTAAAACGTTTTTTAATACACACACAGCAAAGCTTGAGCAATTATTACTATTTAATTGCATGTTCTAAATTTCATATACAAATTTAATTTTAATTACAAAAATGGAAATACAAAAAAAAGTATTAATAAATTTCGTAATTTTTTAACCAATGTGTTCATTTATTCCTTCACTTACCTCATTTATTTTTAAATAACTACCCTAAACTTTGCTACTCAAAAATTGTTTAAGTAAAAAAGAATATTAAACTCAATATTAACAAAATGTGGCGAATGAGGCAA